GCACAGCTGGGTTCTGTGGGTGTTGAATAAACACAAATTTTCATGAAAAGGTGTTCTGCAAAATCCATTGGTTAGCCACCCTAATTAGATAGAGTTTTGGTTTGCTTAGATTTTGTTTAACATTTTGTCATTTTCTGATGAAATTTTTCAGCGGCTGACCAGGTGAATATATATATATATATATATATATATATATATATATATTTATTTATGTTTTTTCCTTTTTTCCAGTAATTGGAAGGGCCCAGTTTGGTAGCTAAAATTAATTTTAAATAGTTTATTTAATCTGTCAATTTGAAATGTTTAAACCAGTCCTTATATTTTTTTATCATTCAAAAATTTTTAAAGGAATTTAAAAATTTCTACTTTTAGAAACCCTATTATCTGGCTAGGGGCAACATCTTTGAACAATGTTTTTATATTTGTGATATTGTAGTAATTACTACATTGAGCTATTACAGTCAATCAGAATGTGCTTAATTGTCAATTTATGATTGCACTTTGTGTTTTTTAAGTACATCTACAATTTTAATAATGTATAAATTGAGTTTTTCGTATTCCAATTAAAACAAACTTATACGCATGTCCTATATATATATATATTCAATAGTTGTGTGTTTTCCTTGTTTGAAACCCAAAGCCATGGTCACATTTCATTTTATTACCCGGTAATGTGTCTCGTATCTTTGTAGACAAGAAGACAAGCAGCCAGTAATTTTATATATCATTGATCTATGATTGATTATTATGGGAAAATATTAAGAAAAAAGATTATTTTTTGTATCATTTTAACATCCACAACAGGCTTATGTCAGGTGATATTGCAATGGGCTCATTTGTTCCTTTATTGCTACGTTAAAAAAAAAAAAAAAAAAAAAAAAAAAAAAAAATAAAGTGTGTTTTTCTTAAAAACTTTTACAGATTTATGATTTTTATACAAATGTCTAAAATAAGAAAATCAATTTATTCAGATTTATTTTAAATGAAATATAAATAGTTCGATATACAAATTTTTGGGAAAACAACTGAGACATTGCTCCACTTATTGAATTATTTAGTTCATGCCATGTTGACTGATAAACTCCTACAACAAAAAAAAAATACTTAAATTGCCATATTAGTAAAAAAAAAACAAAAAAACCCAAAAAACGCGCTCACTTAAATTTAAAAATTCAACCTTAGCATTGTGACTGCACGCTTCACAAGTTTGTATCTGTTATCAAAAACACACTTCAAAAAAACATATTTCAATTTGCAATATATTGTTTTGGACACTGCCAGAATTTTACCAAAAAGAAGAGAGTTTTCCATGCCTGATGATGACCGGAGAACCTGTTGAAAGTACTTGCATATTTTAAGAGTTTATAATTTTAAAAAACAAGGATCATAACATTCATCGAGTGATTAGTAGGTTAATGCATCTTAAAAATTTTGTTAGCAAAGGGATTTCGCCATTTTATATCATTAACTCGACTAATTTACTTTTTGTATAAATGATTCATTGTAATATCTATCTATCTATATAATGTATTTTCTGGAAAGATATATTCTTTGGTTGACTGCTTTTGACATTTCTGAAAATTTAAGTGAGAGTGCGTTTTTTTAATAATATGGCAATTTAAGAATTTTTTTGTTGTAGAAGTTTATCAGTCAACGTGGCATGAACTAAATAGTTCAATAAGTGGAGCAATTTCAGTTTGCATGATATTATTTTTGTCCCGGATGCTTCCTGAATTTTACCAAAAAGCAAAATAATTTCCATGCCTGAAGATGACTGAATGCCCAGTTGAAAGTACTTGTGTATTTAAGGAAGACCTAATACAGCTTATAATTTTAAACAAACACGGATCATAACATTCATCTAGTGATTAGTGGGTTAATGCATTTTAAAAATTTAGTTAGGAAAGGGATTTTGCCATTTTATCTCATTAACTTGACTAATTTACTTTTTGTATAAATGATTCATTGTAATATAAATTAAACTGCACCACATATTTGATTATATATATATATATATATATATATATATATATATATATATATATATATTTGACATGTTCAAAAATTTTGAAGCCAAAAATTTCTGAATCTAGAATTAGCAATGAAATGAACATGACAGAAGAGTGTTAAAAAATAAAAAATGTAAAAGACCTCTTAGAGTCTTTGAAAAAAGAAAAATGGAATCAATTATCAAACCTATACTTTGGGGAAACTTTTGCAATGAATGCCAAAAATTTGTGCTGCAGTAAAAGGATATTTTGACGAGACCAAAATTTAATCATAAAATGCTATTTCATTTTGTCATAAGAAAAATTCTAATGAAAATATGTCTCATATTTTTTTAACCACTTATAATTATTTTCTATTATTTAAAGTACAAAGCAATCACAAGAGTGGCCTCACACTTTTGAACTGTAGTGTGGGTTTGTGTGTTATATATATATATATATATATATATATATAAATAAACAGAAAGAACAGTAAGATATATAATCCGTGTTCTTGTTATTTTTATAAAACAGTGCTCAATGTAAATTTACAGAGCATAAATATTATAAATTAAAAATTTAATTATGAATTTTTTTTTGGCCAAATTGTGTAGCAAAAAACATTTTAAATTTCCCAACTGTTATAATATATATATATATATATATATATATATATATATATATATATATAAACATATACACATCTTACATCCATAGTATGACAAAAGGTTTTGCCTTTTCATAAATCATCAAGTAACATTTGAACTGACTCCTGAGATATGATGCTTGGACAATCACTACAAAATTAACCTTTTTCAAGTTTAAAAATTAATTGTTATCTTTTTACATATCCTCATAAACTGGACGTTTTCTAAAAGTTCATAAAACAATTATTCAGTTTCTTTCTATCTTGAGTGGCTTTTGAAAAAATTATTTTTAAGCAATTAAATTAAAAAATAAAATTAAATGAAATGTTAATTGAATATTCTTAATACTCAGTTTGAATAATTCATCTTTGGAAGGGCTCTAAGAAATGTGGTCACAAAAATCTGCAGACAATATGAGAATTTTTTGGATTCTACATAAACAGTAATTTAGTAAGAGGAAGAGAAAAATAATTTCCAAGATTAGAACTAATGGTTAAGATTAAAAAGGTGTTTGACATAAAAAAAAAAAATTTTTGATAACAAGAGTGCAAAAAAGACTTTTCCTCATCTTTCCTTTTGTCAAAGTGTTCCTTTTATTTATTTTTTTTTTATTTTATTTTTTATTTCTCTTCAAGAGTTTAGGGAAACCTTTTTCTCAGATGACATTTTTGTCCATTCAATATGTTATCTTTAATGCAAGCTTGATACCCAAGACCAAAAACATTCAGCATTAATTCTTAAAACTGGGGAGAAGGTTTGGGCCGTTTTGTTCTTGTGACTGCAATAATAAGATGCGTTTTCATGGTCTAATAACAAAATATTTTCTAGAATCCATTTTTTTTATATATTCCATGCCCAGAGAGTTCAACCAACACAAATTCTCTTCAGGTCATCAGAATTTAATTTTTAAATTTTGAACCAAAACTAAAAATTCAAAAACCCTACAGATTTGAAGCTAAATTTATATATTACTTTTATTCAGTCAAAAGGAAAATTTGATTAATTTACTGTCTCTAATTGTTAAGTTTATTTACACAAATTATTTTTAAAAAAAAAAAATAAAGGAGGTAAATAAAATTAAAATAGGAAACTTAATCAAGGGCAAACACATACTGCGTGAGGCAAAGAAATAGTTCACTCACATAAAAGGTAAGACATGAGTGACAATGGTATATTCATCTAGCTAATGTTTTGTACAATATTTATTTTTAATTTCTTGACATATATCTATATCAGGGGTAGGGCAAAGATTACGACCTGGGGATACATGCAGCCTACCAAATGAATTCATTATAGATTTCAAATAAATGTTAGTAAACTTGAAAGAAAATTTAAATATAAAATCCAAATAATTGTTACAAATTCTTTGATTTAATTTTAACAAACTGATAAATGACTGCAAGATACATTATTCTCATTGAGTCATTGAGATCCTTACGTTGTTTTGCAAATAAATCTGTTTCATGTGAAGTTACTTTTAAAATATTAGTAAGAATTGTTGTTTTATTTCTTTACACTGAGTTAATTTTTTTTACAAATAAATGTTTTCTACTTTATATTAATTAATACAAATAATTTTTTTCTTAAAACAAGGTTATTTTGTCTCTCAAATGTTTCATGTAAATCTTCAACTTAATACTTATTAATATTTTTTTTCTTTAAAAGTACTTTAAACTGAGTTACTTTGTCTTTCATATAAACGCATTTCATGTGAATCTTCTACAGTACTTTAAAATATTAATTAATAAAAATGAATTGTATTTTTTTTTCTTTAAAAGCTTTTTTTTTGTCTATTTTAAATATTACTTATTTTGGGTTTGCTACTATGTAATTCTAAACTGTGAATTTTTGAATGTGGCCCTCATCTGAAAAAGTTTGCCCACCCCTGATCTATATGAGTAATATAATTATTAGAAAAATAAAATACAGGAGATAGGGAATATTTTTATTTTTTTTATTTTTTATCTAAATGCAAAAGACAATCACTTAAACTTATATATCCAAGATTGTATTAGAAAATATCCAGTGTGTTTCTCAAGGAAAACAGTTTCAGAAAAAAAATGTCCACTTGTCAGGGAGTTAGATAATAAATAATAAGTACAATGTAAAATGATTGACTACCAGATAAATTACTTGTTAACTGAATCAGATAAGTCTGGAAATTTTATTTGCTTGTTAAAAACAAATAAACAAATAAATTGGGATTAAAAGAGAATTATTTGACTGTTATCCTTATTTCGTAGTCATATTTCAAATTTCAGAAATCCCTGTGAAATCAGCCAATTTCAGATGATTTCTAAAACAAAAAAAAACCCTTTATTTCATCTTTTTAAAAAATAAAGGGTTTGGTTCTCGAACCAGTCACCCAAGAAAAATAATTTTTTGAAGAGAAACATTGGAAAATGGCAGGAACAGTAAATAAAAGAAAAAAGTTCTAAAGAAAAGAGAAAGAGAAAAGAGAGAAAGAGAAAACAGAGAGAAAGAGAGAAAATAGAAAGAAGAGAGAGAGAGAAAGAAAAGAGAGAGAAAGAGAAAGAAAGAGAAAGAGAAAGAAGAGAAAGAAAAAAGAGAGAAAGAGAGAGAAAGAGATCTTCAAAGAAAGAGAGAGAAAGAGAAAAAGAAAGAGAGAGAGAAAGAAAAAGAGAAAATTAAAGAGAGAGAGAAAGAGAAAAAGGATAAGAGAGAGAGAGAGAGAAAGAGAGAGAGAGAAAATTGAGAAAGAGAGAGAAAGAGAGAGAGAAAGAAAGAAAGAGAGAAAATGAGAGAGAGAAAGAGGAGAAAGAGAAAAGAAAGAGAGAAAGAAAGAGAGAGAGAGAGAGAGAGAAAGAGAGAGAGAGAGAGAAAAATAGAAGAGAGAGAGAGAAGAGAGAGAGAGAGAGAGAGAGAGAGAGAGAGAGAAAAGAGAAGAGAGAGAAAGAGAGAGAGAGAGAAAAAGAGAGAGAGAGAGAAAATATTAGAGATGAGAAAGAGAGAAAGAAAGAGAGAGAGAAAGAGAGAGAGAAAGAGAAAGAGAGAGAGAGAGAGAGAGAGAGAGAGAGAGAGAGAAAGAGAGAGAGAAAGAGAGAGAGAGAGAATTAGAAAGAGAGAGAGATAGAAAGAGAGAAGAGAGAAGAGAGAAAAGAGAGAGAGAGAAAATAGAGAGAGAGAAATTTTCAGAAAGAGAGAGAAGAAAGAGAGAGAGAGAAAGAGAGAGAGAGAGAAAGAGAGAGAGAGAAGAGAGAAAAAGAGAAGAGAAAAAGAGAGAGAGAGAATTTAGAAAACAGAGAAAAGAGAAAAAAAGAGAGAAGAGAGAAAGAGAGAAAATCAGAGAGAAAGAGAGAGAAAATTCCAGAGAGAGAGAAATTTTTTTAAGAGAGAGATAGATGAGAAAGAAAGAAAGAGAGAAAGAGAAAGAGAGAAAAGAAAGTGAGAAAAAAGAGAGAAAGAATAGAGAAAGAGAAGTAAAAGAAAGAGAGAAAGAGAGAAAAAGTGGGAAAAGAAGAAAGAGAGAGAAGAAAAGAGAGATGAAAGAGGAAGAAGAAGAGAGAGAAAGATGTTATACAGAACAGAAGAGAGAAGAAGAAGAGAGAGAAGAAAAAAAGAGAGAAAGAAAAAAAAGACTTATATTACAACTCAGACTTGAGTCAAAAAAGGTAGACATAAGTTTAGTTATTGCATTTGGTTTCCAACAATTAAAACCAAAAAACATGAAGTCCTAACTAGTTTCCATATGTACAATTTGTCTGTTGGGGGTGGGGAATAAAAATCACTTAAAAATAAATAAATAAATATTTACAATTTTATATACAAGGAGGAGACCTCATTAGAACAATTGCTATGAAAATATTTTATAGAAAAGACAGATGGAAGCCAAATCACAGCAGTGAGGAAGTTGAGATGCCAGGTCAGGACCAATGGCATTGCAGACCCTTCTTTAGATTTTGCAAAGAATCTCAAGATGAGCTCCAGACCAAATAAGGCAACAATATTCAATACATAGACAGATGGTAGATTTATAAACTTGATAAAAGCAAAAGAAATAATATAATTTTAAAAAACAAACTGCAAAATTAAATTCACCCCCACCCAGCAAAATACTAAAATTTACTTACTGTATCTATCACTGCCAACAGCTGGTGATGGTGTTAAGATAAAAAGTTTTAAACAAAATGTCAGAAATTTAGATAAAGGCATTGATTTTAAAATCAGAATTTAATTTTTGGTCCCTGAAACATGATTCATTTATAGGATCAAGTTGATCGGGTGGCCGATTTAAAATTTGAATGAATGTCCATTTTTTTAAATAACATTTCAAAATGTTGTAGGAGATTCCTGATCAAAGAAATGAAAGATAAAATTTCACGGCAACCTCCGATATATAAAGTTGGATTGATTTGACAAGGGCTTTTGTGATTCACGGCAATTTTAAAAAAAATATTGGTTAAAATATGTCGAAATAAGGTCCCGGCAAGTAAAGTTTTATAACCATATGGGTCCCTTTGGAAGAGTCGTCTCGGTAAAATGTTAAAAAAATAAAATAAATCATGGATATTGTTCTTTCTAGAAGCTGAGATATGGGGTTTTTATAGACGTCTGGAAAGGGGTATATTGTCTCCATATTTAAATGTTGTCCCCTATCAAAAAAATTGCTATGGTCAAAAATTCCATATCTCCAGATAGTCAATATCCCTGTAGATAAAGAAAAAAATTTTTTTCAGTTTCATCAAAAATGAAGAAAATGCTTGAAAACATTTTTTCATCAATAAACAGAAATGAAACATGAAAATGAAAAATCAGAAAATATCAAATGCATTCAGGAAACATCATAAGATAAAAATAAATAAATAAATAAAAATAATAATTTTAAAAAATTAAACTGATTTTTTAAAATGATTACATTTCATTTGACAGTATTTAAGAACAACTACTTACAAAAATATTCCGGATTATATTTTTAAACAACTTAAAAGTGTTGTTAAAAAAAAAAGTCTTTGTAAACATTAACAATCTACAAACACAGATTTTTCAATTGCATATAAAAAAAAAAATTTAACATTTAATATTCCAGTATTATGGAATGAGGCTAGCTTTTAAAACATAGTCTATGGCATCTGGCTAAAAGCATTAATAAAAATTATTTTTAAACTTTTTATAATAAATCTCCATGGACAATTTACATTTAATAATCCAGTATTCCAAAATGAGGCTGAAAAAAAAACCATATGATTTTTGATGGCAACATTAGCTTATTAGACTCTACAACTTTGCATATAAACCTTAATTAAACCATAACTATTCAAAATATGGAATGATATAACGCTACGTTTGGAAAAGAAATCTATGGCTTTCTGAAAAACATTATTCACCTGATCCCCTAATAATTGCATATAAACCTTAGTTGTCAAGTTACATTTAACAATAAAATTATGGAAAAAGGCTACAAAGTTGTCTTGGTTCCTATATAAATTAAAAAAATAATCAATTTGAATAGACAATAAAAATTCTTTAGGCTGAAAGAATTAATGACATTATTTTTGTTTTAAATTAAATTTGTAAGACTTAGTAAATTCCTATGTTTTTGAAATTTCAAATGAGAAAAAATTTATAAAAATGAATATCTGAAAATATTTAAGTGAAATCAAAAGTTGTTGATGGTTGCTTTAATAAAATATGCCAGTTACTACATAGTTAATTTCTTTATCCTTTTACTGTATCTTCCCATTGTCTTCTAATGGAGAAAACTAAAATTACCCATTACATCATAATTCTTTCTTTTTTAAAATTTAAACTTATCATCCATTTTCCTTGACAATGCTTCATCTAATAAAAAATGAAGATGAAAGTAAATATTTAGTCAAAAATTAATAATAATGGCTGACAATGCTTTTGTTAATAAAAAATGAAGAAGAAAAGTAAATATTAGTCAAAAATTAATAATAATGGCTGACAATGCTTCATCTAATAAAAAATGAAGATGAAAGTAAATACTAGTCAAAAATTAATAATAATGGCTGACAATGCTTCATCTTATATAATAAAATGAAGAAGAAAGTAAATACTAGTGAAAAATTAATAATAATGGCTGACAATGCTTCATCTAATAAAAAATGAAGATGAAAGTAAATACTAGTCAAAAATTAATAATAATGGCTGACAATGCTTCATCTAATAAAAAATGAAGATGAAAGTAAATACTAGTCAAAAAATTAATAATAATGGCTGACAATGCTTCATCTAATAAAAAAAAAAGATGAAAGTAAAAAATTAGTCAAAATTAATCTTTATCTCCTAAAAATGACAATAAAAATCATCTTTTCAAAAATTTCTTTAAAACTTTCAAATATTAATGGAAATTAATGCTTCAGTGTCAAAATGTTGAAGGTTTTAAATGCTAAAAATTAAAAAATTTTTTCCTAAAAAAAGTAATAATAACGAAGAAAAAAATCAAAACATGCAAATGAGAAAATGAAAATTCTTTAAATAGCAAACTGATTTAATGATTCATTTCAATAAAAAAAAAAATCAAAATAAGATGAATTAAAAAATTGTCAAAAAAATAATTTTCCTGGTTCATTTTTAAAAAAATAAATATATTTTCATTTTTTTTACTTTTTAAAATCATTTTTAAATTTCTTTTCACAATGATTTACAACATTTTAAAACAAAATAATTTATTTAACTATTGACAGATTTTAAATATAAATAGAGAAAAAACTATATCCATGCACTGACTAGAAGAAAATCTTTAAATCTATGACATGACAAATAAAAATTATAGGTTTAAATATGTTTATATTCAATAAATTTGTTGCTTTTAAAATTGACAAAAAAATATACATATTGACATGATACTGATAATTACATTTAGTACATTAGTTATTAAAGAGTAAAAATAAGACATTATAAAAAACGTTTAAAAAAAAAATAGTGCTTTAGAACAAATCCCCATATTTATATGTTTCATGTATATATTATGGAAGGTAATATGCATACAATATTCAGGCTATAAATGTTATGGTATAAGACGGTTGAATTATGTTGTGGCACGATTTCAATCAAATTTATTAATGGTTGAAGGTTTAGTCTATTATTTTCTTTTCTGTAAACTTCTACAGCACAAAGAAAGATTTAGCTGTTTCAATTTTAATATATATTCTTTCTTAAATATACTATAAATTACTATAATCTTTTATATTGTAGAATAGGTATATTTACCATTTTCTTGTCTCAAAAATACATATTCTGTTGTCAAACTGAATGATTTTTAAAAACCCTAAGTCTCAGCTTAAACTTAGCAAATTTGCTGAAAAAAGTAAATGATAAAATTCATCATTCCCTTTTTTATTTTTAATTTTTTACAGAAATTTTGTATGATATATTATATATAAACAATAATAATTTACATATATATGCCCATGTGAAACAGTTGAACTTTTAATGTGCAGGTTTTTTATATTTTCAGTTTTGTGTATCTTATATTATTAACTAAAATTTTTTTTTTTTTAAAATTTTTGCTTTTTATTTTGATATATATATATATATATATATATATATATATATTTTTTGAATGAACCAAATAACTAGATATCAGTAACTGTTTATACATGCTTTAAACAAATAACATACATAGGTAAGCAATTCTCATTTTAAATCGTTATTATTTAAAAAATGAATTTTTAAAAAATGTTTTAAAAAGTATATATTAATAAATATTTAATTTTTTAAAACCCATAACTAAATTCAACTTAGTTATAAATATTTTTAAAAACTTATTAAAAACAAATTTTTAAAAAATATTATACTTTTAAATGTAGATATATAATATTATATATATATATATTAAATGATTTAAATTTTAAAATTTTTTCTTTTTTAATTTTAAATTTAATTATAAATATTCATTTCAAATATATCAAGGACATCAAAATTAATTTATGTAAGCTTTTAGTTTATTTTTTTTGAAACATGGTTAGAACTGTGTATTTCAAAAATTTTTTAAATCAATTTAATTTAAATATTAATGCTATTTAAATTTATATTGAATAATTATTTTTTAAAAATCTTCAAATATCTATAAGAACATTCAGATATATATATATTACTGTTCTTTTTTTATTTATATATATGGATATATAGTTTTTTTTTATATATATAGGGAAAAACTATAAAAAATGAAAAAATTTACTTGTGATGTATTTCAACTTTCAGGACTTCATTAGACTAAATTTTTTATGTTGGTATGCCTACACTAGCGTTCAAATGAAGGGTGCTGGGTATTTTAGAATTTTTTACATTTTATTTTATATCTAGCCGAATTCATTTACAGTTCCCCCCTCCCATCATTTTTGTTAGTACGTAATTTCTGCACATGTATAGTCGTACCAACATAACAAATTTAGTCTGACAAAGTGCTAAAGGACAAAACATGTTTTTCAGGAAACACACATGTTTCTTGTTAAAATTTAGGACCTTTCAAGGATTAAATTTGTTACAGTGGTATGACTACACATACACACGAACATGGGATACTGAGAATTTTAAAATGATTTTCTTGTTTTTTTTCTTTTAATATCAAGCCGAATTCATCTACAGCAAATTTGCTCCCTGGCTCATACAACATTTCACCTTTACTGGCAGATCTTCTATTATCACAGTGTGGAATATGTACTAACAAAAGTGACGAAAAAAAAAAAAAAACTCTTAATGAATTCGGCTATATATATATATATATAAAAAAAATTTAAAATTCTAAAATACCCAGCACCCTTCGTTCGTGCACTTGTGTAGTACTACCAATATAAAAAATTTAGTCCAATGAAGTCCTGAAGGATAAAACACAGCACAAGTAAACTTTTCCATATATATATATATATATATATATATAAAAACAATGGATAGATCTTATGGTGTAATGGTTAACTTCTCCTCTGTTTTGATCTTTCAAATATCAACTTAAAAGGACTTAAAAATATATAATCTTGGCTCTTGCCAAAAGATTCTGTCTCCAATTTGTGTGTGTGTGTGTGTGTGTGTGTTCTCAAATTTGTGTGTTCTGTCCACACACAGTTTCCTTAAAGACAACTGACAAGGTATTGTGATTAAGCTTTTTATGTAATTTTTCCTGTGTTTCATAAAAGTGTTTTCTGTTTTTGACACAAAGTGCGTGAAACCTGCCCAACACTCAATAACCTTAACTATGAACATGGCCACAATGAGCTGACCATGTTCAGAAAATAAAACTTCAGACACATACATAAAAAAAACACACACTCAGAAATAAAAATTGTCCTTGATAATGGTGAAAAGAATAGCCGAAAGCACTCAGATATGCAGACCTTTTGGAGGGAGTTGGAGAGAGAGAGGTTTTACCCTATATTCTTCTGGTTCCAGTTTGAAATGATATCTACTATTCCTAATATAATGATGACTATTTGAGGACTACCAACAGCAGCAACAACAAAAATGGATAGTACATGTAACTCAAAGAGTTAGTCTTGCCAGATCAAGACTTTAATATGAAAGTCAACCACATCACAAAACTTGATCAAAAATATCCAAACTGTCAGTTATATACAACCACTTTCTCAGATCAATGATTAAAAACAGTTTCAAGTGAATGAATCCTGTAGATCTTAGAGAGGACCATACTTCTTTGAACTTTATGGACTGGTGCTATCAAGAATTGCAATAAATAACAAAAACTGCATCACTTGAGGACTACCAACAGTGGCAACAATTAAAATGATACGTTCAAAATTCAAAGAGAAAATTAAGATGCTGAAAAAACACAATTTTTAATGAAAAGTAAAATACTATTTTTCAATACAAAAAAATGATAACAGCTTATTGGACTTTTCGACCCATTTTTCAGAAAATTGTTTTAAGATTTTAAAAAAAACTGACTAAATTTACTTATCGGTTTTGAAAATTGTCAATGTTTTTTGATAGGTAAACAGCTTTGTATTAACATTACTATTTAATGAATTTACAAATTCATACTGTTTTTTCTCATTTTATTGCCATTGATTTATGATATTTTGGCCAATTTATGTTCTGGCATTCTTCAGGTGTTTTAAGCCGTTAACGCTTCACCAAACCCTTTATTTAGTCCATCATGGGGTAGATTGTTCATAAAAACTATAATATGATACTTTTTTAAATATCACATGTGTTTGAGTTGAAAAAAAAAGATAACACACATAGAAATCCAAAAATTGACTTGACCTAATGGGTCGATGAAGAATATGGTTATGAAGAGTAGAGGTGAACAAAACTTTGAGAGTTGAGTTATAAAGGGAAATAACTAGGGAGAATTAAAAGAGAACAATTTTTCATAAAGTTTTTCTGATTCCAACATATAACAATGGTCGAAATGAGAATAAGGCAATAAAGATGAGGATAACAATCTGAACGATGTAAATAATTACAATATCTCATCTCAGAAATATAGACAGACATTAAAATTTTGATAGTTTATTTAATTATGTATGAAAATTTGAAAATTTTGAAGCTATTTTCAGTGAAAATTTTCAAATTTATAGTTTATAATTCTAGTTTAGACTTGATGGAAGAAAATAAATACATTGAAAGTGACTCGTCTTAAATGACAGCAAAAGGATGTCAATTAAATTCGATGGAAAATTTTTGATTATGATTTTCTTTTCTTTTTCTTTTTAAATTCTATATTACCAATTTCCAAATTTTGATCCAAGTGTGCAACAACTAAATTCAAAAATTAGAATGACCGTCAGTTGAATTTACTAAAACTTAAAGGAATTCTTACTACCAAAATTTAACATATATATATATTTTTAATTAGCGAACAGACAAAAAAAAAGAAAGAGAGAGAGAAAAGAGAGAGAGAGAGAGAGAAAGAGAGAGAGAGAGATAGAAAGATTAAGAGAGAAAAGAGAGAGAGAGATTAGAGAGAAAAGAGAGAGAGAGAGAGAGAGAGAAAGAAAAGAGGAGAGAGAGAGAAAGATAGAGAGAGAGAAAAGAGGAGAGAGAGAGAAAAGAGGAGAGAGAGAGAAAAGAGGAGAGAGAGAGAAAGAGGAGAGAGAGAGAGAGAGAGAGAGAAGAGAGAGAAGAGAGAGAGAGAGAGAGAGAGAAAGAAAAGAAAGAGGAGAGAGAGAGAAAAGAAAGAGGAGAGAGAGAGAGAAAAGAAAGAGGAGAGAGAGAGAGAAAAGAAAGAGGAGAGAGAGAGAGAGAAAAGAAAGAGGAGAGAGAGAGAGAGAAAGAAAGAGGAGAGAGAGAGAGAAAAGGAGAGAGGAGAGAGAGAGAAAGGAGAGAGGAGAGAGAGAGAAAGGAGAGAGGAGAGAGAAAGAGGAGAGAGGAGAGAGGAGAGAGAAAGAGGAGAGAGGAGAGAGAAAGAGGAGAGAGAGAGAGGAGAGAGGAGAGAGAAAGAGGAGAGAGAGAGAAAGAGGAGAGAGAAAGAGGAGAGAGAGAGAAAGAGCATGTGCACATAGAAAACACTGCATGATGACTGTCAGTTTCATCATGCCTCACTGATCTTCAATCTACAAATGCTCTACACCCAATATTGAAAGAGGAACTCTCTTCCCTTACAAGTCGTACAAAATAGGTGGGGTTGGGGTGCTCCCCCCCCGATCCACGAGCAAAAGCAGATTATTTTCTTTCTGTCCCCCCCATCCTGTAAAATTTCTTCCTGTACACCTGCCTATAGCAAATTCAGAAAATATATTACACATACATGCATATTTTTAAGTTATTTTATCTATTTTAAGAACCATGGTACAATTATGTCATAACATTATTAGTAAAGACAAAAGGAAACCTTAATCTTTTTACAGATATCTTTTTTAGTTCTATCTGAAATTTTACACACACCTGTTACAAATACAAACATCGGATATATCCACACACCTATACAATATACACACAGCCAAATATTTAGATACAAATATCATATACACACCCATAACAGATAAATATACACATACAAATATGCACACACCTAAATTCATACACACACAAATCATCGAGTATTAATACACACAACACATTGAATTCCACACTGAAAATGGGTGTTATACCGAAAAAATTAAAAAGAGAATTGTTTCTACCCACTCCAAGAAATATTTTCATCTCTTTTAAACAATCCCCGCCCCACACCTGAAAACATTTGTGACAGTCACACGGAAATATCAAAATGACACGGAAGAGAAAAAAATCCGATTCGATAAGAAATGAGAAACCTACTAAGGAGAGAGAGAGAGAGAGAGATAGAGAGAGAGAGAAGACAAAAGATTTCCATAAATAAAAATGCGAAAAGGTGTGGCGAAAATAGTAGCGACATAAGATCTGCGACTGGCCACCAGCCGACCCTACTAATTAAACGCGCGTATCATTAAAGAAAAGCAAAAAGAAAAAAGAAAAGCCATCATCATGAGGTAACACCCAACCCGAGGGTCAGTACTTGCTTCCACTAACTGGGTAGTGTGTGTCGTCATGGTGATACGAACCTGGCCATAGTAGACTTGCAAAGTAATCACAACTGGACATTATGTGCATACCACCAATAAGATATATTCAGTCGAATAATTTGGTGACTAAAATTCTTGAATTTTAAAACATGCACGTGTATGTGTGGAGGGGATTTTACACGTGTAAGGGAAAAGAGAAAAGTAAAATATTAATTTTTATTATTTAAGAAAACAAAGGATTATTCTTTAATTATCTTTTTTTTTTTACTCGACTGGAAATAGCTATAACCTGATTTTGTGTGATTTAGATAAAAAGGATAATTAACAGACAAGTAAATGTTTGACGTGCTTGGATAAATTTAGAGAGAGAGAGGCTTACTTACCTGATAGATAGGAAAAAAAATTCAACTCAATAAATACCTTGGTAATTTTTTTTTTATTCATGTTAGAATAGCAAGGTTACCATAGGAACGGTAACATTTTTTTAAAAATTCCTGGCCTGTGTTAATAATGATAATAATTTAAATATGAACGATTGAAAGAAAGAAGGAAGAAATTTTTTTAGTGAATTCTAACAGGTACGTGGTTAACAAGCCCATCTGGTAATAATTTAGCCAAGCAATATGTAAATGCACATGACACTGACGAAGAAGAAATGTGTGTAAAAAGGAAGAGATACATTTTAAATGACACTTTTTTAAAGGTTTGTTGCTGAGTCAATTAAAATCAGCAGCTAGTAATCATTATAACAATTCTTATAAGAACGTAAAGAAATAAGAAACGCTCACGTTTAGCAAGTAGCCTTTAAAACAAGAATAAATTACATCCTTATTATTTCATAGAAAGCAATTAAAAATAATTTGCTAATCCTTACCTCTTAGGTCCATGTTACTAATTGTTAATGAAATAAACACGAAAGGGAAATATTTAAAATAACAATTTGTAACATAATCGTCAATAATATTGAAAAGGATTACGTTTTTTTTCCCCTTTTCACATGACAATAGCCGGCCACGATAGAACAAGTGCTTTTCGCAGGTCTTCAACATGAATTCATTTTACGTAGGTAAGGTGATCGTGTCCAGGGTAAATCAGTCTCACGTAGGTCTTCAAGGTACTGTGTGGGTCTGGTTAGTATTAGTTATTATTACTAATTCTAGTAAACAGATAGTGCACAGCTGTTGAGACCTTTACGAGCCCATTTTTAGTGTTCTACGGCAGATGGATCAATACCTCTGCCTGTTTCTTACCAAAATGCTGCTGCTGCTGCTACTGGCAAAATATTTCGCGGTTGTTGGGAGTCAGCGTTTACCACCGAGTTCCACACAAATCATATATATATATATATATATATATATATATTTTTTTGGGGAAAATAAGATGAAACATACTGGAAAAGTGAGGTCGGTTATTTTTTATTTTTTTTTAAATTGAGAAAGAGAATCAGGTGGATGTGGATAAAGAAACTAAACCCAAATAATATTAATTAATATTAATAATTAAAAAAAATCCCCGAATATTATTTTTTTTCTTAATTTTTTTGAATGCCGCTTAAATAGGTGGGGGGGGGGCTTAATCTTCCTATGAAAAAAAAAAAAAAAAAAAGAAAAAAGAAAAAAAAAAGGCAAAACCGTCAAAAAATAAGGTTTTTCAAAGTTTGAAAAAAATAAACGAAGCCCCCCCCCAGTAAAATAAATAAATTAAATAAAATGATGGGGAGGGAGGTGATATAGCGATAGCTCTCCGTGTGTGTGTGTGTGTGGGGGGGGGGCAACGAACTAAGTCCGGGGTTATACAATGGACTATGTCAGAGGGAGGGAAAGAAAATACAGTGATCTATATCGGTGTGTATGGTGGTGGTGGTGGTGGGGGGAAATAAAATTCCAGTGATCTATGTCGGTGGGGGAGAGAAAAATACAATGAACTAAGTCAGGTGTGGGGGATACAGAGAACAAAGTTGGAGAAAAATGAACAAGAAAGTGTTAATAAAGTGGGGAGGGTGGGGAGGATAAATCTTTTAAGGTTAAATTTTTTTAGATCCAGAAAGGAGTGGAAATCTGATTAAAATTCTCTCTCTCCTGATGACCTTTGCCCCTTTTCAGGTTTTGACATCGAACACAGAATTTTAACTTCAAAATTTCAGATCTATTTGTTTGAAAATGCAGAAACCATTGGCCAAAAACAGACAAATGCAAAACCATTCCAGTATTTTTTTTTCTCAAATTGATGTACAACAAAAGATTGAAAGAAAAAGTATTTACACAGCAGGGCATAGAAAACACACACACACAAAAAAAATAAAATCAATACATCCCCAAAAAGTTGATTTTCAATCAAATATGACCACATGCACTTATCGTCTAAATTTTATTTTTGTATGTCAAACTATTCTTGAGAACTGTTTACTGGTTGACATCCAGTCAAGGTTGCCAAACTTGCCTATGTCCTTGAATGAGGTGTAACAAGTGGAAAACTTGTTTCTGGGGATCTGTCGCCTAAGCAGAATTTCTCCCTGCATTGAAAAAGAGGATCAGTAGAAACACCCTGATGTTTGCAGTTATAACAAATGTAGTATAAAAGATAAGGAAATTGAACATAAAGTAGGCTGCACCAAGGGTAGTTTTCCCCAACATTGCAAGAGGCTACTAAGCATTAACCTAAAAACTCTGGTCATGTTCTTAGTTTTACCAGAGGATGTTAACCACATCATCAAATTTGTTAAAAAATTTCCAAACTATCTGCTTTCTCAGATCAATGATTAAAAACAGTTTCAAGTGAATGAACCCTGTAGGTCTTAGAGAGGACCATACTTCTTTGAACTTCATGGACTGGTGCCATCAAGAACTGTACTGAATAACAGAAAACATTACTTGAGGACTACCAACAGCAGCAACAATGAAAGTGGATAGCATATGAAACTCTAAGATGACATAATAAAGATGTTAATATTCCACATTATTTCAGACAAGAGGTTAAGGAAGTCCTCATCAATAGTAGAAAGAGCAATAACAGTAAACATAGTTGAGAAATGGCTACAAAATGGGGGTTAGTTTTGGAATTGATTTTCAAACAGAACTGATCCCTCACTTTATACCCACCACATTTAAATACCGATTACATACTGTGGCATCCTTTCAGGATTGTAGAAAAGCAGAGAATATACTATGCCCACAAAGTGAGGGATCCCTTTATGAATTGATTATCATTTAAAACTGACCCCCAATTTTATATCCACATGAAACTTTGTTAATCAAATAATGGTTGCCTACAAACTCCAGACTAAGCATGACCATCCCCAAAGACCCCCAACAGTGGAACAAGTGGATACCAATTATAACATCGGATGAAGAGGGCTACGCATTATGGACATGCTACAGAAGGCGCCATTCAGAATTATAACAGCAGCAATCCATTGGAGTTTCATAATTGGATCCTGCATATCTCATTCGATATGTACCATGGAGGAAGGTCACGAAATCAAGTTTGTGGGTCTTGGCAAGTTGAGACTCACCTTAAACAAATTCACACCATTGGCACTTTCTTCTACTCTGATTTTCTTTCACCTCCAACTAACACTTGCAAAGCCAAATGGCGATAGGGAATAGATGACAGGAACAGGTTTTGGTAAAATTGGAAGCTTCTAGTCCAGAACCAGAAGATTCTTGGTGATATATAGTCAGAAACACCATCATCATAAAGGAAGTAATCAGCAAATAAGAAATTAAATTCTTGGATATGAGATAAAGCTGCTAATGACACATTTTTCAGATTTACTTTCAATCTTTCTGGACAACAAATGTAGAAAATAACTATGGCCAAAAATGGGGGATCATTTTATAAATAGATTATAATAAAGAATTGATCCCCCACTTTACATCTGCATCAAACACCGATTGCCATGCACAAGTTTTTTGGGTTTTTTTTTCCAGCTTTTCTCTGGACAAAAATCAAAATAATACACTGTCCATAAAATGGGGGATCAGTTTATAAATAGATTATAATTTAGAATTGATCCCCCACTTTACATCTGCATCAAACACTGATTGCCATGCACAAGTTCGTTTTTTTTTTTTCAGCTTTTCTTTTGGACAAAAATCAAGAGAATACACTCTCCATAAAATGGGGGATCATTTTATAAACTGTTGGAAATACAGAAATGATCCTCCTGTTTATAGCCATACCACACTAAATTGAATATTGATTTCTGACATGATTTTCAAGCTTTTTCTTCTTCACTGGACTCTAGAAATAGACTCTGCTCTGGCCACAAAGTGAGGAATTTGTTTATGAAGCGATTCTAACTGAATTAATTTCCAACTGATCCCCCAATTTATATCCACATCACACTTAAATACAATTACCTACATAATCATGCTTTTCTAGATTTAGTTTCATTTTCTAGAAAAAGGGGGATAAGTTTATTACTTGATTGTAATGGAAATATGAACCCCCACCACTAAGGAAGAAATTAAGAAAAATCTGCACCTTGAAGCATAGGGTTATCATGGGCCTTGACACAAACATACTATGCTTACCCTATCAAGTCAGTGATAATTGGCAGGAGAGAGTGGCTGATTTACTGTGGGTAGCAATAGCAGTGGGGGTGGGGGATGACCTTGATTAACCAGGCTTGAAAGGTGAGATCAGATGGAGAGAGAGAGAGAGAGAGATGCTAGGACAAGTTGTTGTGAAGTTAAAGATTTAAGTTACAGATTCAGCTGCTGAACACTAAGTAACCAGAAAGTATTTAGACTCATTAACAGCAGATGGGAGTGGGATTTATTGCAAACGTTTTAGCCAATTGACTGGGGAGGGGTGGCAGAGAGAGAGAGAGAGAAACAATACAAAAGGGAAAAAAAATCACAATTAGAAA